GTGAAAATCTGACTTAACATTTTCATTTTCTTAAAAGAAACCCATGCTATTCAACTTCCCTCAGCATTAGGCGGTGATAATCTGCCATCTGTCTCTAGAGAAAGGCCTGTCCTGGACCTTATGCATAAATGTGACCTATAGCCTCAGGTCTTTTATGACTGTCTTATTAAACATGATTGCAGAATTTGTATTGTAGTAATTACTGGTACTTTTTTTCCTTTCATTTTTTACACGGGGACATGCTATGTAGTTTAGGTTGACCTTGAACTCATTATGTAGCCCAGGGCAGGGCTCTAATTCCCCATTCTCCAGATGCAGCCTTGCAGGTTCTGGAATTGCAGAGTGTGCCACCATGCTGGCCTTACTTTGTTTCATTTTGTGGCTGATGTTCCACTTTATAGATAAACATTTTGATCAGTTGGTAATTCTTTGGGCTGTCTCCACTTTTGGGACATTATGAGCCGTACACTCACAGCAGCAGAAAGTCTAGTTTCTTCACATCATCACACTTGTTAGTTTGTTTCTCTACACAAATTGCAGATATATACAGTGGTACCTCGTTGTGATTTCGTATTTCCCTAAGGGATAGTTATACTGAACATCTCATGTGTTTATTTGGTCCTGTGGTATTGCCCTTGGGTACATGTCTATTCAGAGGCCTTGCTTCTTATGTTACAGTTAGTCTTCACCTTCACTTTCTGATACCTTTGTAACCAGAGGGATGCACTTATGCTCAGATAAAGGAAAGACAGAGATCCAGAGTACCATAGTATGCAACCAAAAGCTATCAAACATGCCAGAAAAATCTAAAAGAGAAATTAATTTTAAAAAAATTGATTTTGAAGGTTATCCCACCACTTGTACATACGTAAGTAAGCCCTGGGCAGCTTGGCTGTCAAGGCTGTGCCTCAGCCTGTGCTGCAAACCTCTGCAGGGCTGTGGGTGTGTTTGGCTGTGACTCCACTGGATGTGTCCCCGACTTTCTCTTCATTCCCACACACAGGGCCGTCTCAGGTCTTAGCCAAGAGATACCGTCAGTCAGCGTTTTGCTGGTGGACAGCACCAAGGCCTGCCGTCTTGGCTGCTGCCCCAGAACCCTGGAAACTTCTGCAGTGAAATAGATTCTGATACTTTTTTATTTCCTTGTTTCTTTTTTACTGGAGTGTAGCCTACATAAAGTACATAGCATGTCTGAGTGCAAATGCCGATGGATGGCTTTGTAACCTATCTATTCCTCTGCAGCTCTCACCAGGTTGTGAGATGGAACGTGGTAAGCACCTTGAAGATTTTTGTGCCCTTTCTTACTTGGCTCTGCCTTCCCAAAGAGGTCACCACTTTTCTGCCTTCTGTGACCATGCATTTGTTTTGCCTACTAATGGATTTCAAATAAGTGAAAACTAAGTCCAGTGTGTACTCTTTCTATTTCTGGCTGAATTTGTTCTTTATGTTGAGGGATACTTGGATTTTGTTATATTTTCTGTTGATCATTAGTATTCAATTGCATGATCATACTTAATATATTTACCTGTTTTTCTGTTCATAGGCATCTGGGTAGTTGCCCATCAAGAAAAATGCCTTATCTGTAGTATCTTCACAGACATAAATACTCTCTGTTTTTGATTTTACATAGATGTGGAAGAACTGGATCTTAAGTTATGCATTTGCCTTTCGAAGACCTACCAAATGCATTTTGATCTTTTGTTTTTGTCTCTGAACTCTGCCCTCATAGTACATTGTGATCTCAAGTGTGTGTGCAGCTCAGGGACTGGAAAGAAGAAAAGAAGTTGATGAAGACAGATAGAGAAGGGAACAAGCTACTGTATGTTACAAAGAAGGATGGAAAAGTAAAGAGGAAGAATTGGAAATGGTGTAATTATTATATCAGAGTATTTTCAATGTGCATTCAATGTGCATATTGCTTTATTGTTTTATAGTGATTTAACTCAGAGGAATTGTTTCACCTCTGAGGTGTATTTTCCATACATGCAGAATGGGAGTAAATATACCACAAGGTGAGTGTAAGCACAGCATGAAACATTGCTTAAAGGAACTGATAATGCATAGTGAGGGCTTCCTGCGTGCAAGCCACTCTGCTAATGTAATTATCTAATTTGATCTTCACAACAACCCTGTGAGCTATGTCGTGTTGTTTTCCCAATTTTACTAGTTAGGAAGCTGCAGTTCTGAGAGGTTCAGTAATATGCTCTTAGGTTGATTAACCAGTAGGTTGGAGAAACAGAACTCTGATAGGTTGATACCAATGTATTGATTGCAGAAGATAAGGGAAGTACACACAGAAGAGCATATCAGGAACAAGTGGCATGCACTTGTCTCACAGGTTGGGTGAAGTATTAAAGGTGATTCATCTCCAGGGAACACAGTGAGGAAAAGGACAACACTGCCGTGTTTTCAGGAAAGTGTTCTGGGTCTCTTTCCCAGCATTTCCTAAAAGTCTTCATGTACACAGTGATGGTGCTGCGTGGTGCAGATCCCCCTCACCTTGGCATCTGCTGTGACTCCTCTAGGCTGCTCATGCTGAAGTGGTCCTCCTGAAGCTGGCCTCCTCGCTCCACTTGCTGTGTTTCCAGCTGCCCTGGCTTCACACCAGCTATGCACTGCTGAGCACTTTGCATCTGAGATCTGATTCTGGCCACCTGGGAAGAAACCTAAATTCATAATTCTTTTTTTTCCTCTTTATTCTTAAGCAGTTCCCAAGTTCTCAGGGCTCTGCTCTCTACTGGTAGCTCTGCTGTGGTCCCATGGTCCCAGTTCTTGAGCAAGTCACATTGAAGTGGTGCATAAAGGGAAAGCTGGTGTCTTTCCTGTCCAGCCTCCAATCTCTCGGCGTCACTTTTGGGTATTCAGTGTTATCAAGTTAAATAGCTTTCTGAATTTTAATCCAAATATTGTATATTGTGATCCAAGTATTATAATCCTGGTTTTTTTTTTCATTTTGTTCTCACGGCTTGAGAAATTTTATATCTATAATCCCATTGAAATGTTATTGGAATCCCAGTGAGTTAATTTTTAATCTACCACCTCCAGTGCAACCCATGACAAGAATAAAGATACTAAGACATAAAGTTATGGGCAGCCAAGAGGTCTGGAGTCCAGTCCAGGTGAGGATACATGGAACAAACTCCTCCCCACAAAGCCTCACCCAGGATTTATGTTCATGAAGAAGGGAGTGGCTCAAGGATGAGTGACAGTGCGAACGGTAGGAATCACGTGAATGATGTGAGCTGAGCAAGCACCTCTGCAATATGCAGGGAGAAGTTGTGCAGAAAGACCAGTCTGCATAACTTGATTGAGGTAGCATTTGAATGATTTAGGAAGCTGTTACTTTAGTTCCTGATATGTAATCTTTTGTGCTCCAAGAAGTCATAGCCTTGTAACTTGAGGCTAGAACCTAGTTGGCATTCCTGGAGCTATGTGGCTCTGCCATTCTGCTATGCTCAACTGTTTATAGGGAACTTGGTCAAGGAAACAGGAAACTGTTTGGCCTCAAGGATTACATATCAGTACCTTAGCTGGCCTTATTTCCATTGCTTAGAGCCAATTGAAGGGAAAAGGAAATAGCATAGCCAGCTCTGTACATATCAATATGTAGAGATAGGGCTTGGTTTAACTCATGTGGACATAATTGTTCTGCACTCAAGGAGAGCCATCCACATGGTCTTCTACATTTTCGTGTTCATAATATTGCATGAAAAAGTAAATGCCATTGGCTATCTTCCTTTCCTTTCCCTCATGTTTTCACTAATACATTGTAGACAGTCCTATTTTTTCCCTGCCTTCCTTCTCTTTTTTGATGCCTTTGCTTTTGCTGCTCCTCTCATCTTTCTTCCCTCTTTTCCTACTTGTCCTTATTGTCCTCTTCTGCCTTCCTACTTGGATTCCTCCCTCATTGTATGAGTTGGGGCCAGGAGGTACAAATATTCAGTGAGACATTGCTCTTGTCCTGTAGGAGGTCGCTTGGGAAAATCAGAACTTGAATGTTACTCACTGCAAAGGTTTTACATATCTTTTTGTTTAACAGGCCTCTTCCTTCACTTATGGCATGAAATTGAAGCATCATTGGTGACCCAGACTTTCAGTATTGAATTGACCTTGGGTTCATGAGGATTGAAAAAGAAACCATGTATCCCAGTGCTCAAGCAGCTTATTAAATTAAGTTCAGCCTCTTACTTTTCCATTGATTTTCTGATCATTATGGACATTTGTCAACATGATAAGCTCCTATCTGTGGTCAAAATAAATGCTTAGCATTCTTGTAGAATAAATAACTCTTTTTAAGGGGGTTTATGTTCAATGAAGAATGGTTCAGAAGCAATACAATACATTGTTCAGGTAGCGTCAATGATGGGAGCCATGAAGTGAGGTGCAGATTTCACTTTTTGGGTGAAAGGATGGAGAGGAAGCATTGAATGCCTGGTGCCTTGCAGGCACTGTGACACCCACTGCACATATGTCTCTTGCCCTTTGGAAGTACATGGAGCAGTAACCCATTTGACTACTCAAAAAATGTGAGACAGTCGGTGGGGAGGATCCTCACTTTGGTTCGGATAGAAGTATTTACTGAGAGTCTGCTGTGTGTCAGGCTATGTCATTAGTACTTGGACTGTATCAGGTAAAAACAGCCTTAATTCGGGAGGTGTGCGTCATAGCAGGGGTGGGCAGGGCAGTTGGTGTAGGTACTGGGACAGTGCAAATGTAAGCAGTTAGTACATTGTGAAATGTATTACAAGTTGGTAGGGGCGATGGACAAAAGAAAAAGTTTTGAAAGCTCGGGACTGAAAACATGCAAGGTATGGCAAATGGTAGTTTTCAATCAGGTCAGAATGAGCTTCATGGGGAAGTCATGGATTTGGTAAATTATGCAAAACATGATGGAAGATTGCTGTGTCATGTGATCTGGCTCAAAGAGTTTAAGAATTCTTTTTTTTTTTTTTTTTGTCTTTTAAAACCAAAGCATTTATTTTGAGTAATCCCTGAAATGCTCAAGACGAGCTGGACGCTGCAACTGCTGCTGTCTTGGGATTAGGTGTTGTTTCTTTACGGAATACGTGCCTCAATCTGCGATACACAGTTTTTAGGTGCCTCATTCGCCCAGTTGCGGTGGTCTTTTGCCGTTTAGCCTTTGCGCTCCAGTTATACTTTCTCTTGTGCTTGGCAGGGTAGCCACATTTGCCACAAGTTGACTTTTGAAGGTGATAGGCCTTAGAGCCACAGCGCCGGCACAATGTGTGCGTCTTATTCTGACACTTTCCGAAGGATGACGTTCCCTTCTTCATCGCGCTTGTGCTGAGACCAAAGAGGCCGGAAGAGAAGGCACTTCCGCTATATCATCAGTTTAAGAATTCTTTTGAGTTGAGTAACACAGCAATGCTTCCTCCTGTCACCTTGCTTTCTCATGGCCTCTAGTTTTTCAAGGAAAAACTAGCCACTAAGAAAAAATTAGGTGCTCCTGCAAAGAGGGCAGACAGGTTTCCTACCAGTGGAGCCCCCAGGAGGAAAGAGTGTCCTTAAGTGCTCTCCTAGAGAGCTCTGCTGCGAGTACTTTCTGTACCAGGGTGTGGGGTGGATACACAGACAAGGAGACTTCTAGACCTATTGCAGCTCCTTGCTTGCAGGCTATTGGGGAGGTTACTGGTGAGTAACCCTAGGCCAGTGGTGGTGAGCCTATGGCATGTAGGTTGTTTCTGTTTTAAGACAAAAGCTGTTAGTGTATGAGTTGTTTTTTTCTAAACTAGAATCTCAGTGTTCAGGTGCAGTTGCATTTTGTGCACTTTGCGATGAATAAGTGTGTTTCGGGTTGCATTTGAGGCACTTATCTCTAAAAGGTTTGATGTCAGAGGCTTTTGCACCTGAGTTGTACCCTCAGCGTCTTGAGTGTTGCCTCACCCCTCCTTGAAGTTCACTTTTTTCTCTGAAGAACAGGAATGTTAATATGATATTCAGCTTATGTGGCTGATGTGAGGATTGTTGACACAATTTAGTCTGCAATCTAACGTGTGTTGAGTGTTACCGACCACTGAGATCACTGTTATCCATCCTTGGTGTGCAGGGTCCTTTGAACTTTCACTCCAAGGTGAGATTTGCCTGCACGAGGGCCTTCAGATCAGTTAGTCATTTCAAGTTCTCTGAAACGCAGGCCAGAGGAGAGCAGCGTGCTAGGGAGGCACTAGTGCCTCCTATTTCTTCTCCCTAGCGCAGGACCAGCTTTTCAGAACAGCATATGGAAAGAACTCCTGGGGACTCTTCTCAGAAGATGGGTTTGTAAGCAAATGAGGGACCAGGGAGGGGCAGCTCCTGGGTTCCTGACGGCCCAGTGGTTAAAAGGAGGCTGGGGGACTGCCATCTGTTCCCCTCCATCCCAAGCCTGACAGCTCTGGCTTCAATACACCGAGGAATTCAGGAGGCACAAGCGCAGGGCTGGGGCAGTCAGTCTTCCTGCAGCCTGCTAACGGGAGGCCTCAGAGAGCCTGAGACACCTGAGTCTGGCCTGCTGGTGCAGAAAGGCTTTGTGGAGATCTCTGGCAAGGAGTCACGAACTCGGAGACAGTGGTGCCTGCTGTGTTTCTGCCATTCTACCAGGGGCTGAACTAAGGGGCACATGCCCATCCTCAGGGGCCTGTGGCCCTCCATTAGGTAAGTGGTCTATAGATGACATGGGTGAATTATAAACCCTGATTACTTGCCTTTGACCAGGTAACATCCTAAGTACTTTGGAGGGAGTAACTCATTTAAAATTCCCAACTGTGACATGGGTATTGTTACTATCTACAGTTTATAGATCATGTAGCCAAGCCAGAGAGACTAAAGCTCATCTTAGGGCACTGTCTCAGAGTAATAAATACTTAAACAACTAGCACACTTCTTGGACCTCTGGCAACAGCTTGGACAGCGCTCCTTACCAGGCTCTGAGGTGGATTGGAGTTGTTGAGTTCTCCCCGCAACAGCTGCAGCTGTTGAGTGACTGACTGCACAGCCCACCAGTTGGTTTCAGTCTCTCCTGTCACATGGGCTGCCTTTCCTTTTTACCCCAGTACCTGGCTTTTTAGGCACTTGGCCAGCAGGGCAGAGTTATATTGTTTTGTGGGTTAATTCGGTGAAGATGACAGTGTTCCAGCCTTAGAACACTGGCTATGCAGGACTGCAACTTACGACCAGGTTTCTGTATTGTGGGGCAGGGTTACCAAACACCTTTTCTCCATAAAAATTACCCTCCTCCATCTTACTTCTTCTGCTGGCTCCTCTAAATCCCAGTCTAGTGTTCTCGCTTCTATTTTTCTATGAAGTGTGATCGCTTTCTTTTTGTTTGTTAGTCACTGTATGTTTCTTTTAAATGCACCCCTCCCGCCTCTTTGAGACAGATCTTGTTAATTTGCTAAATTGCCCAGGCTGAGCTTCAGATTTGTGATCTTGAGTGATCTTGAATTTGTGATCAGTCTGCCTCAGCCTCCTGGAGTGCTGGAATTACAGGTATGCTTCTACCATCCAGTTTTAATCTCCTGTTTGAAGAAGCAAAAAAAAAAAAAAAAAAAAAAAAAAAAAAAAAAAAATCAGGAAAACATGGGAGATAGCAAAAATCACACTTCTTCCCAGCTACCATTACAAATATAGCAGATGTTTATATTTGCTTTGTGTGTATTTTATATCTTTTATTATAGGTTTAATATATTCATAAGTATTATCTTTGTACACAGAGCATACATTTTCCTTACAAAAACCAAACCATCAATATGTAGTGGTATTTTGTTTTTATATTTGTTGTTTTGTACGGGGAATAGAACTCAGGACCTTGCACTTGGCGGGCAAATACATAGTGTTTTAAAGCCTGTTTTTCTCCCACTAATATGTGATCAGCATTTTTGCAAGTCAGCTACTGGCATTTGTGGTGTCAACAGTTTGTGAGGCTGGTATGTGTGTTTTGTGTGGGGCTTTTGTAATAGAACACTGGTTCAACATGCAGGGAGCCTCAGTCTCCATCTCTTGCACCATAATAAACAGTTGATCAGTAAATATACCTTCATTAAAAAACTAAAAGATGCATTTTAAAAAAATAGGCCCTGGGTGTAGCTCAATGGTAGTGTATTTGCTTAGCATGCACAATGCCTTAGGTCCAATCCCTAGCATTGAAAAGAAAACAAAAAAGCAAAGTGGTCTTTTGCTCTTCTGTGGTGTACCATGATTTCTTTAGTGAGTTGCTGTTTACAGTTTCATAGCTGTATGTGTGTGTATGTGTGTGTAGCAAATCTACAGATGTTAAGTTTAAGATACTGAGAAGTGCTAGGTAGTATCTATCATTATTACATAATTTCTTCTTCTGTGCCAGCCTTCCTTGTGAAAATCTTGATTTTCCTAGTATATTTAGCCGCAGAGAATCTAAGTTTCTTGACTGTTATCTTTGTTTTCAGTGGGATGGTTAGTAGGCAGGACACTCAGATTCTCCAGTGTTTCCAGTGAAGAGCACTCCCCTCCGCAGAGCCCCTCCCCTCTGAAAAGCTCCTCCCCTCTGCAGAGCCCCTCCCTCCATGGACCCCCACCCCTTGAAAACCAAGTCAAAAGGCAAAGGGCCCTGGTTTGGAAACTCTCTGTGGTTCCATGTGCCTAGGTTCCCTCCTCTCTTCCTGCTGTGTGGTTGTCTTAAATACTCGAGATGTAATCACAAGATAAGAGGACTCAGATCCCTGTTTCAGGAGCATATAGAACAAGGAGTAGAATGGAGGAGGGTAATTTTTGTGGAGAAAAGGGGTTTTGTTATCCCTGCTGCCCCATATAGAAACCTGGATTGTAAGTTCCAGTCTTGCACAGCCAGGGGGCTAATTTAGTGAGGACTCTGCCTGGCCCAGATTCTGTGGGCTGCTGTGGCTGGACCAGAGAGGCTGTACCTGCACTGAGAGCCACAGACTCCAGGAAGAACTAAGATAGCAGTACAATATGGCAAATAAAGTACTTGCTGAATGTAATTCTTAGAATATAAAAGTACTTAGAATGCAATTGCATGGACTGGATTCACCTACAGGTTGCAATTTTGTGATCTCTAATCAGTAGCAGAGCTTATTGAATGTGTCTGTGAACACAAAGAGCTGCAGTAGAGAGAACAGAGCCAGGCTCCTTGAGTTCTGTGGCTGTTCGCTCTGAGGAGGACCCTGGCCTGGATCCTGAAGTTGAGTGTGGATTTGCTATGGCAGCCATCCCAGAAATGCTGCTGAAAATCAGAACCTGTTAAAGGATAAGCTATAGCCATCTTATTTATTATTTGAATTCTCTGTGTTACTCTAGAAGGAAGGGGAAAACGAGGGGGAAAGTAATGATTATTGTTTATATATTGCAGTGGTTGGAAGTGTGTGTTTGTCATGTGAATTGCAATTTAAATCTGGGAAGGATGGCCTCCTTCCTCAACCCCCACCTGCACCAAGGACTGATTCAGAGGCACTGGCTGCCTTGGGAGGGGTTATCTCACAGGCCGAGGAGACCTTCCCTGTTGTGCCTGGAGTAGGAGCCTGTCACCATGGCACGTCCCTACATCCCTTGTTAGCAGCCTCCTGTAACTGACTCCCGGGACTGGTGCCGCGGGGGAAGGAGCGTTGGGGTGGCAGAGCTGAGTGTACAGGCACTCAGCCTGTGCAGCACTCCGAGAGCTGCAGACCTGGTGCTTATCTACAGAGACGGCTCTGCCCCTGTGTATGCCCACTTGGTACCAGCATTAAATAAAATCACAGGTTTAGAGCGCGTAACACATAGCGGGCGTTTACCATGCAATTGATTTCTTGTCTTCATCCCTCTTCCCCTTGCTGCATGACTTTGATGGTCCACTTGGTGGAGAAATTCCACCAACTCCTTCAGAACTAAAGATGAATTAACTTAAATAGTATGAGTCAGTGAAAAAATAAGAGTTTTATTTATCAGTACTTAATGTTCAGTTTGGATACATATATTTACATAAAATAATTCTTGCAAATTTCTATTCCGTTTCATCTCATGGCATCACATTTGAACAGTGTCTTGCAGAGATGATAAGACAGACCCTCTGTGCTCTAAAAAGCAACACTTGCCACTTACAGTGCTATCCTCCTGCCCCAAAGACAGAGAGTTTTGCAGTTATAGATTCCACGAAGAGTTAAAGAGTGTAGTAGAGTTGGAGGTAAAGAAATTTTCAGTTCCTGCTGGGAAGAAGCAATGGTTTAGTTATCCTTTTCTAGAAATTTGAAAATCTTGATTTTCTGCTTTTCAAATTTATTAATAGCATCACTCAACCAGGCAACCACAAAATCTACAAGGTTAAAAA